TTCTGCGGGACTTTCACAACACTTGGAAACGCCTGCGATCGATTCGTTGTTTCTTGTTGTGTTGGACTTCATGTCGACTGTTGGGATCAAAGACGCGCAGCCGATGATGTTAGCGAACAACGCGATGCAATATATGAACAAATACAGTGAGAATGAGCAAGTGTGTGAATATGCGATGCGAGTGTCATTACGGGCTGTGAGTGATGAATCCGTTCGGAGTCGAATACTTGAGAAAGGGGTGTGGAAGAAATACTTACAAGTCGCGACGAGTCATTCGAAGAACTTTACACTGCAAAATTACGTCTTTGGGATCTTCGACATGTTAGCGCGGAACTGCTCGAGTTCGGAAAAGGAAGTCTTTTTGGAAGAGGCCGTCAAATGTGTAGTTTTAGAGACGCCGAATTACCCGACACTGTTTTCTGTGATTTATGAATGTACAAAGGAAGAACGGAGCGAAGAGTTAATGAAGACAGTGGTCACTGAAATCAGACGATTTTTAGAAGGGAATAACAGTGATGTCATTTCACTGTCAAATGTCTTAGGAATTCTGTCGAATATCTCCGTGTGGGGGAAGTTCGACATTTTCGAGGAAGAGGACTTCGAGGAGAAGGTCGTGAAGAATGTGATAGCATATACCAACGATGCAATCATTATGAGATTCGGCCTCCATTTAATACGACTGGCAAGTTTTAAAGAGAAATATAGTCATGTCGGGTCCTTGGCTGTGGTAAGAGCTGCTATGGCGACTTTTAAGGAAAGTCGAATCATGCAAGACGGCTGCGTGACCTGCTACAATTTATTGAAGAGCAATAAATTGAGCGAACAGCAAAGGGGAATGGCTATGGAGTCTGTTAAAGTCGCTAAGGAATTGTTCCCCGAGGATAAAGTAGTCTACGCTGTTTGGTACGCATTGGGAAATAACGCCGTTATTAATTTTGTCAAGTAAGTCACGGGTTGTTTTGTTACTCAATTTACCTGGTACATGAGATCTCAAATGCCTAAGATATGTGCATTTCAACCCTATTTTGTATCTTAAAGAAAAAAAGTGTCAAAGAGAGGAAACGTCAGAAGAGTACATTATAGTAATACTTATTAATAAATATTAATAAAGAATAGTAACAATGAGCAAAGAGTCAATTACAAATCAGAGGTAAGAATAACAATGTTAGAGAAGGCAAGGAGCATGACAATAAGAAAAGCTAGAAGAAGAAATTTAGCTTGTGGTGGTTCTAAGACTTCCATTGCCGGACGTTTCTTGATTATCACCTTGTCTTGGACTGTTTGCATTTGATTATCGAGTTTGCAAAACGTTTTTAAGCCAAAAATTTGGATGATTTGGCTATTTTTCAATGGGTACTTGTAGTTTAAGTATAGTTGTTTTATTATACTTGTATGGTTTTTTGTCTTTGGAATTCTCCTTGTTGTCTATTTTCTTATACAAAATAAGTGTCTGTGTCGATTAAAAAAAGCAAAATGTCTGCTTCAAAAGTCGAAGAAAGTCGGGAATCGGTATTTTTATGACATGACGTGGCAAGTACTCACATTATCAAAACTCAAAAACATGGTTAATTATTTTGATATGGTAATTTATAATTTTATTTTAATATTTAAATTAAAATTGAATGTGTCGAACGCAGTTTTGATGATGATGTTTGTTCCATAAAAAAAAGAGTTTGTGAAATTTTCAAATCACAATTGTGTATGTTTGAAATACCGAATTGGAACGAGAAAAAATCAGAATTGAAAAAAGTGATTTGTTTTATTTGTGGCGTTTTTACAAAAATTCTTATTTGAGGAGTTGACATTTGCTATACGGAACTATACTTTTATTATTGATTACTTCCCAGTGTATTTTGGGATGAATGTATTTTATAAATATTTGAAAACTTTTCAATCTCCTTGAAATAAAAGTTTTTTCTCGGCAAAAAAAATCATTTATTTTTTTGTTTTTTGCTCTTTTTTATATTCATTATTTATTATTATTATTTATTATTATGTTTAATTAAAAAAATATAAAAACAATGATTTAAGTCATTATTATAATAATTTCTAACGTTTTTTGAAAATAATTATAATTGAAGGGTTGAGTTATGATTTATAATAAAATTAATGATAAAGATAACTATACTTTTATTTATCAAATGATAAATTCAAACAATATTATAATTATATTATGTTTTTAATATTACTTTTTTTAATAAAAAAAATAGATTAATAATAAAAAATATTAACAATAACTAAAAATTATGAAAAATATAAAAACATTTTTGTTTTTTTATTTTTTTAACATTTCAGTCTACTTTGTCAAATTTCATGGCTCGAAAATTAATTAATTGAAAATACATGGAAATGGTATTATTATTCGTAAGAACAGAAGTAATTTTACAATTTAATTAAAAACTAAGTGGCTGACCAATTAAGCGAAGGCAGATTCAAGTTTCTCGGGTGGAATGTCGTGGTCGATTGTCTTAACAATGTCCAAATAATTTCCAAAGGAAAGCAAATCTTGTGTCGTCACCTCCTCGTCAGAGTCTTCGAGGTCGATGAGTTGTTCGATAAATGCCTCACGCGCAAATTCGTCGCTGTTCATGGCGACTTCAAAGTACTGCTCGTTCTGTTTTGGTATTCTTTTGGCCTTTGGCACAAAAGGCTTTGAGTTGATATCGAATTGCATTGACATGGTCTGAATTACCAATTTTTCCATCACTTAAATACATTTCCTTTCTGTTCAGATCAATCTCGAAACTCCTTTTCGTTCTTGACGTTTGATTTTTTTTGTTTTGTTTTTTTACATGAATTGTATGCAAAAATAACGGGAAATTGACCTGTTGTTCATTTTAATGTTCTGGTTTTTAACTGTTGTTCTTTTTTGAGTTTTGATGATGGTTTTTATCTTTTTTATTTACATTTTTCCCATTCAGTGTATTATGCTGTATTAACAAATTTTATAATTGAAAAATAATAAATTAATTAAATATAATAAACTTTCTATAATTAAATCGATATTTTAGTTTTTTAGTAACCAATACAAATTACATGATAATAATCCAAAAATACAATAAACATTTTTATTTTTTTATTTTTCGTATTAGTATCATTTTAAAGCATTACTTCGGGATTTTTATATTAAAACTCAAAGTCATGTAAAAAAACTCAACGCAGATTAATTAGATTGAGGATAAACTTTTTATTTTTTTTATAATATAAATAAATAGTAATAATAAACTAAAATATTTTTATTCAATAATTAATTATTTTCATATATTTTTTATAATATATTTTAACTATTAATTAATGAGTTCAATAATTGAAATTTGATAATAATTTTTATTATATTTTTTAATTACAATTGTTTAAAAGTGGGTAGTAAAATAATAATAAATTCATTTAAATGATATAACCAATATTTAAAACTATAAAAATAGTTAAAAAACACACAGCAAATTATAAACTTAATAAAAACAAATTGATGTCGACAGAGTTTGTAGCTATAAAACATAACTAAATTTTTAAAATCAACTACTCAAAAACTCACAAACAGATTGTGGTATAAAGGACTGATATCTGAAGGTATATCACAAGCGATGTCACAAAACAAAATGATTGTTATTTTTATTAAAGACGATTCAGAAAATTCAAACACTGTTTTTGAACTCTTGGAATCAAACGTTTGATTATTTATTCTATTTGAATTCAAATATAATTAAAACATATAAGATGTCTAATAAAATCGACTAAATAACAGTTAAAAGAGTTACTTAAATTGACCGTCCCAATTTTGGTCCACACAAACGATGACAACTACAACTATTTCCAAACACTGTGTTTGTTCCACCATTTTTAATCACATTATTTCAAAATCAGATTTATTGACAAGTAGACACAAATCCCATTGAAGCCCCAACACTTTTCTTTTTTTTCAAAGGCAATCTCCTCAACATTGTTCCGCCACACGAAATCACACAAGAGAAGATTTCTGCCATAATATTATCTTCAATGATGAGTCCTGCCTTTTCGCAACAATCACCTCAAATCACGAGATTGAATCACGTTCCGAAACGACTGAAATCAAAACCGTTGAAACAGTTGAGAAAGAAGAACTTTAAAATTCACCCGACCAGATACACCGAGT